AATCTCTACTACAGTTACAAAAACAGAAAGAGTGCAAATCAGGTGATAGATGAACATATCTACTCCTATTGACAAAATAAAAACTAGAAGAAAAAAAAATTAAAAGATTTAAAAAAATAGTAAATAAAATTAGAGTTTAGATAGAAATATTAGAAGTGTAAAGTTAAACTAAGAGCACGTGTGATTCAAGTGTATGTATTCAGGTAGCAACAGTTAATTACGTATCTGCCATTACTTAATTAAATTTAACTTAATAAATACTTGTTACCAAAATCTTTTTATGCTTTCTCGCTTATGTTTATCTACGTAATCAATGTTTTACTTTTAATTCTACTGCTTCTCCAAAAACTGTTTTCAATTAATCCAAACATTCAATGGAGACAACGTCTTGAGTGACAAGCAGTATGGACTTTGATTGGCTCAATCCACTGCTGAAATCCCAACTCTCATTACTCTCAGAATCAGTGAGGCACTAGATAACATACGTACATCTTGAGAATGATCACATTAAATATTACAAAGTCTTTTGACAAGCTCTGGCATAGAGGTTTGGTGCACAAACTTTCTAGCTATGGAATTACTTGAGCTTTCTCAATTATCAAGTCTTTCTTAACAGCTAGGTCTCTGAAGGTAGTTGTTAATGGCCATTCCTCTGAGGCCCAGGTGATCCAAACAGCTTGTTCCTCGGTTCAACCTTCTTTCTTCTTTACATAAATGATCTGCTTATGACTATACTCTGATCATTTGTGAATATATCTATGCTGATCATACAGTGGTATATGGATGCACCTCAAAACTCGAGATGACCAGTGCCTGGTAGCTGATCTCTCCACTGACCTAGCTTAACAGCTCAGTGAGAGAATAACTAACACATTCAATGTCTCAAAAGCCAATCATCACAATGAACAAGTGTTCTTAGGGAGTCCCTATGCTTTGAGCTCCTTTTGGGACTTAAGCTCAACCCAGACCTCAAGTGAAACTCATACTTACAATTCATTACTAAACATACTGGAAAATGGTCAGTTCCCTATACCTCACAAGTAAGTACCTGACTCCTGCTATCTTCTAGCTTTACAAGAGCCAGATCACACCAAAAATTGAGTATTTATACCATATATAGGCAAGAGTTGCCCAGTCTTGATAGACTCCAAAGGTGTCTCTGTATCCTTGTGGATGATGAATTATTTTCCACCTTATGACCCCTTTCCCATGGATGAAATGTGGCAAGACTCTCATTGCTCTCTCACTATTTCCATGGAAAGTGTTCAAACAACTACATTCTATTTCTAACCTTCACCACTAAACCCTGTCATATCATCCACATTGTAGCAAAGCACCTTCATTCTTTTTGTATTCCATTGGTGAAATATAAGTTCTCAAGCAACTTCTCACAAATTTCTGCTTTATGGAACCAACTCCCATGAGGATGCTTCCTTGGTCACTACAATCTTAACCTGTTCAAGTCTAGGGTTAACCATTATCTTCCCCTACATATTCCCTTAAACTGTGCCTCTTGCACTGTAAAGCTGTCTTGAAAGGTTCTTGGGCCTTGTACAAGTTGAACATTATTGTAAAAGAAAAAAAAAAGATAACTTGCTAATGATATCTTTGTGATTGGAAAACTGTTAATTGCTCAAAACTTTTCCATCTATAATATTTTACGCAATAACATTTTCTGAGTCCCTCTCTAGTTACGTTAACATAGTTTACCAGTAATACAGTTAGAAATCATTAAATCAGATTACACCAGAAGTCTGAAAATAAGGCTGAATGAAATAGATTTTTGTTTGCTTGATGCTACGTCTATTTTCTATTATGAGGCATTTATTATTGTTTGTCAGCAAGCACCTGATTACATCCAGGGTGCACAATAGCCAAAACCTTGGTTATAACAAGTCTACATGTAAATAATGATAACTTCTCAACATGAACCGGGGTGGTAGCACCTTTTAGTGTTCTAGCTATGGGCAAATACTTAACCACCGAGCAAAAACAAAACACTATGAAAGTATAAAAATACATTTCATAGTAAAAATACCAGTAATACATTTTTATAGAAAAAATTACCAACAATACCTATTTATAGTAAAATTACCAACAACACATCAATCAACATGAAAGAACTTTTTCATGGCAATAATCCATATAATATCCTACAATTTCTTACAGAAATCAAACTGTATTCCAAAATATAACTTCAACAAAGCTACAACGTAAACCACACATATCACTGCCTCTTGTAATTATGTTCACACAAACATGTGTATGCACAAAAGACAAGTATCACCTACCATGTATTCAATTGTGACAGCAGAATAACATATTTTTATTACTTCAAAGCTCCCAAGACAATTAAATTTCAGCTCTAAATGACCTATGAGGAGTTGATATGCCATTGAACAAACAAATCAGTTGTCCCAGAAATTCTAACAGAGGCATTATTTCTTAGGCTTTTTATGATTTACTTGCTCCTGGAAGACAGCGCCTACAAATTGAAAGCTGAAAAATCTAGTTATCAGTTGCTTCTTTTTTTTTTTTTTTTTTTTAAACTAAGTACTGTATGATACTCCTTTTAATGTTTTTGTCATCCTCTGTCCTATGTGAAGTTACATGTCACACCTTCAGATGTTTTCTCTGAATTCTTCGCATATAAATCATTGTCCGAAACCACAGTCTGTCAGAGAAATTTTAGGTAATTATCTGCTTTTTTTCCACACTCCTATTTTGGCATCTTCCTTAATTCTCTGTTAACTTTAACCTTTTACTGAAAAAATGAAAATGTCAGGTGGTGAACTGATGACACCCTCTAGTTTGTGTGTCTCCTGCGGTCAGCATATCATTTAAGATAATTCCATTTTTTTTTTCTCACAACTTAATAAATACTTGTTACCATAATCTTTTTACGCTTTCTCTCTTATGTTTATCTATGTAATCAACGTTAATACCATGATTGATGACTGTGATTATTACAAAAAAAGAGGTTAACATTAACATGACTTTTAGTCATGCACTGAAGTCAAGGACTCTTCCTCTGCCCTTTCAGGCATGATTTAAGAAAAATAAGCCTGTGCCTCTAAAAAAATGTATAAAATCTAATTTATAAACTTTCTCAGTAAAAGAAAGGTTATGTTCAAGTGATAAGTGATATATTTATTATTAAAACACTCTTGATCCCAAAAACTGGAACAACTGCAAAAAAAAATTATATTTTAAAAATTCAATTACTGCAATTATTTTATTTTTGCTTCGACTTTAGAAAAAATTAAAACTAATCAACTACTGTATATATGCAAGTATAGTGCAAGTATTTATAATCAGTTTTTTTTATGCCAAAAATACAAGGTTCAAAAAGGTTTCTGTGACTGGTTTGACTATACACAGGTTTTTTTTCTTTTTTTCTGGAGGGGTTAAAATTCATGCAAAAGAAATATTTAGGGGAATCACTATACATGAAGTCAGCTTATACACAAGTATATACGGCATTTCATTTTTTTAATTTCTCTAATCAATTAGAACTTGCACTATTGAATTATATCTAAAAATATTTTTTAAGGAACATTGAAAAATGTTGACATGTGTACTGAAAAAGGTAAATTTCTTTATTTTTATTTATTTATTTTTTTTCAAATATCAAAGAGTATTTGAAGAATTTTATAGGTAAAAATAACTCTCAGGAATAAATTTTCTAAAGTTCATGCAGAATTTTCTTAAAACTAAATTTTCATCAGAGAAATAAACTCTGTTAGATTTTCAAAGTTAGCAAACAAAATTCAACAAAAATGAACAGACTGAAAAATTAAATAACTGCTCAATTTGGATGTTTTTCCAAAGAAACAAAACAAAATGATTGCAATAATTAAATTCTACCTTAAAATAAAAATAAATTCTGCAGCTACTTTTTCAGAGACAATGAGGGGACAAAATTAAAGAATTTGCAGGTTTCCATTTTTAAAAATGTTTATTATTTTTAACATTTCCACCTAAAACTCTGAACTTTTATTTTAGAGATTTATCCCTTGTTTCTTGTTTAGGATTGGGTTTCCAGTTCCTTCCAAAGTATTTTTCCTTCTCTTCCACTTCTGGTGGCCCCTTGTGTCTTAATAGCATTATCACCTTGCTTGGTTTGGTGCCTCTTACTCTGTAACCATCTTCTACCTTGAATGGCTTTTGGGCCTTGTACATAGTGAACATCATTGTAAAAAAAAAAAAAAAAAAAAAATATTGTATTTATCTATCTTTGCATCATTTTCCCAAAAGCAAAGAAATATTAAAAACTTTATGGCATATGTGTTCACATCTGAATGTTGCCAATGTGGATAGGTAGTAAGATAATTATTTTATCAGAAACTTTGGGAATAAAACAGACTGACTTCTGGGTTAAAATGAATAATATATTTATCTATTTTCTTTAGAGTGATAAGTGAGTCCTTTGGTACTTGGCTATAGCAAAAAAAATTTTTTTAATAAGGCGGATATTGATAGCAGTCTGATGAAATGTCCATTTGTGGTCATTTTAAAGTAAGACTGCAGTAGAAGTAGTAACATGAGAATTTAGATCAATGTCAATCAACTGTGTTCTTTTCGGCCCAGAAACAAGATGTAAATGTCACTGGCTGACGACCTCTTAACTGCTTCTTCACATGTCACACATGACGCGTTCTTTTGTTCCATCCTCTCCTTGTGACATTCTATTCCCTCTCTCTGTTCTGGTTCCACTTGTCAAGGTTTTGTGCTTTAGAATAGGCTAGAGAATTTACCATCAAGATTAAATAAAAACTTCATTGGTCTTTCTCTTTAATCTTTATAATGCAAAAAAAATCATTGTTGTTAATGATAGAGATGTATACACTGTTTTTTTTTTTTTTTTTTTGTTTTAAATTTTTTAACAATAAACATGTTTTGCCTACACAATTTCCATATGTATTTTTGCATGTTCAGTTCAGAAATTTCAACTGCCACCAGAAATGTCTAATTATTTTTTATTTTTTTTCCTATTTCAGCCTGGGGAGAGCCATCAACAATTACAGGTGGAAACTGTGCTTCTATACCAGAGAAAACAAAACCATTGAAAGCTTCATCACCTAAAAAAATAACAGCAGAAGAATCTTTATTAGCTGGTTTAAAAAATTTGAATATCAAAGAAGATGTCCATAAACCACTGGCTCTAAATGCAAAGTAAGCAAGCTTTTGTATGCATGTATTATATGGCAGAGTTATAGATACTTATACACGAATATCTGCAATTTCAACTCTGCATGCTTTACCATTCATACTCTTCTTAGTTGTTATATTCACAATGTTTCGGAAATTTTACTCTCCAGCCTTCTTTAGGTGTCTGTCATATTCAGAATTTTAAACTCGAACCCTTGAAACTCTCTGGTATTTAGGTTCAGTAACTAATTATGCTAACACCCTCAGTAATTCAAACAAGTCAGCACCGCTTACATCAGGCAATCAAATTCAAAGAGTCTCAGTGGTCTGAGATGATGTAATATAATGTTCATATAGGATATGTTGTTGGCAGCACCCACTCACATCCTACCTTCAGGATCGTCATCCTCTCTCCTTATTCCCTTTCTCCTCTCTGGTGGCAGTGGCAGAAATGGCTATGAAGTCCCAGCCTGCTCCTGAAGAGTTATGAGCAGGAGTTACAGAGGAGTATGGTTGGTGGTCATGGCTGGGTGAGTTGGGTCCTCCTGACAGCCTGTCCTGGGTAAGACAATAAACTAGGTCCAACAGCAAGTCCTCTGATCAGGAGGTTTTGAGGAGCGTGGAACCACCTCTTAATTGCTGGTGTTCCCAGGTTCACCCTGACCCTGGGGTGGTAGAACCTGTTAAGGTCCCAGTTATGGGCAAATAGTTAACCATCAAACTGGGGTCAAAACATTATGAAAATAAAAAAATGTGTTTTATTACCAGTAATACATTTTTGGAAAAAAAATTATTATCAGCAATACATTTTTGAAGAAAATATTACCAGAAATAGATTTTTTTGACAAAAAAATATAACCAGAAATAGATTTTTTGACAAAAAAATATAACCAGAAATAGATTTTTTTGACAAAAAAAATATAACCAGAAATAGATTTCTTTGACAAAAAAAATATTACCAGAAATAGATTTTTTTGACAAACAAAAAAAAATATTACCAGAAATAGATTTTTTTGACAAAAAAAAAATATTACCAGAAATAGATTTTTTTGACAATACATTTTTGAAAACAAAAAAAAAATATTACCAGAAATAGATTTTTTTGACAATACATTTTTGAAAACAAAAAAAAAATATTACCAGAAATACATTTTTGAAAACAAAAAAAAAATATTACCAGCAATAAAAATTTTGTCTGCATTAAATAATCCATTGAGATTGATATGCCGTAAAACAAAACAAACCAAACTTCCTGACAGCACATTGCAGATGCAGAACCTCTTCATGTTAACAGTTGAACTCTAAAGCCTCACTCCCCTATATATATATATATATATATATATATATATATATATATAAATTTATTAAAAATTTTTTAAGGTATGCTATATTTATGGGTTAAAGTTCTCAATATAATGGATATAGCATATGTAAGTATAAAGGTGGACATTGAAGTTAACACTCAGAGGGCAACAATTTGTTTGATACTAAATGCAATCATCAGGTCATTGATTGCATTTAGCATGAAACAGGCCATCACCTCTGGGTGTTGACTTCAATATCCACTCATATATATATATATATATATATATATATGTAATTTGATAGGTGTATTACAGGAATGTATGTTTATGATATTAATTTGCTTGTTTTGCAGACGTTCTTTATCTACCTCAAGCAGCATCAGCAATTATAGCAAAGAGTCAATACATATCTGTCAAGTGGCTAGGTATCTCCAAGACAAACATGTACCAAAGGTTGTGGTGTTGGTAGGAGCTGGTCTCAGTACCAACAGTGGTATCCCAGATTTTAGGTATGATTCTTTCTTTCTTCTTATAGATTGACTGTAAAGCCATTGTGGCACACTGAAAGTTATTGAGAAAAGAGTTTCCAAATAGAATTAAGATATAAATTCTCTCTTCAATAAAATCTATTGTTGGAAAAACTGCTTCTAGAAAACAAAACCCCCCAAAAAATCTTTCAAAATTATAAATGGCTTTGTTGGCATTTTTACATAATATATTAATATGGTCTTCTTTTTTCTTTTTTTTTTTTTTTTTTAAACTAATAGTTCACCCAATACAAGGCTCAAAAGCAACTCAAGGTAGAAGGTTACTGAGTGAGATTGTAAGGAAGTGGGGAGTAAGATAGTATTATGAGGATAAGTAGGACAGATATTGGTTGACCCTGGACTTAAAGAAACCAGGATTGTAGTTGTCTGGGGAGCATGCACTTGGCAGTTTGTTCCACAAAGTAATAGTTCCAGGGAAGAAGCCGAGTAAAACTTATTTTTTATCAAAGGAACACAAAGGGAGTTGGGAAGATTTGCTACTGTAAGTACGTCTTAGCTGTGAAGGTCTGAACCGATGGTATAAGGAATGTCACTTGTTCAAACATCTGCCACATAGTGAAAGTTGCAGGGTAGAGAATAATTAATCACCCACAAGGCCATATAAGAGATTTTGAATTTTGTGAGGATTGGGTAGCATCAGCCCAAATATGGCAGCCATATTCTATTCTTGGGCTGATCTGACTCTTTATAAAAGTTAGCACATGGCAGGAGGAGTTCATTATTTTTTGGAATGATACAATGAAATTTTAATTTCTTTTTGAACTAATCCCCCATATCATTTTATCTTTTGTGTTATGTAATGATTTATGTACATCTTATTTGAGGTTATCAAATGATTTTATCTTGTTGATCCCATGAGGAGGAGAGGAAATTCTGTGCATTGATTTGTCTCTTTATACTTCTTAGCACTCTGATCTGCTTAGTCTTTATACTGTCATAGAAGGTATCTAGATATAAAATTCTGTGACTTCCATTAGTCTATCCATCCGTCTGTCACACCCTCTAAAATAGCCATACATTGAGTGGTCAAAGGTATATTTGGGGGGAGAAGTGCAAACAGGTAAGGGATACAAAGTACAGTTGATTTTACTAGGGTTTACATAGCTTAATACAATAAATTTTCATTAAGTTTTTGGGAAACTAATACAAGCCAATACATTGAGGGATCAAAACCATATTTGGGGGGAGAAGTGCAAACAGGTAAGGGATACAAAGTACAGTTGATTTTACTAGAGTTTACATAGCTTAATACAATAAATTTTCATTAAGTTTTTTGGAAAAATTAAGTTTTATTATTTAACATACAAAATAGTACCACTATTTTAAAAACAGATTAAAATGACAAATATTTATTTAATAAAAATGCAATATTATTATTTTTTGCATATCTTTTCTTTAAGATTTGATAGTTGATTGGTTTGCGAAATTGAACAAAATGTAGAGTTTGTAAATCTCAACAAAATATGATAATGATAACTTCAACAATACTAAATATTGTAAGGATTTCAACATGCATCAATGTGTTGCAAAAAAATTCTAGCATAAAAAATACATACAAATCTTTAAAAAAAATTTTTTTTTTTTTTTCATTGAGTTTAAAGAATAAATCCTGACATTACTTGCTCTCAACAGGGACTACACTTTTGACTACAACTCTGTCAGTTAACCTTTATTACTCTGTATATGACATCATTTGTTATAAAAAATGTTTGTCCTGCCACTGAAAATGACTCTGATCACTGAACAATAGTGTGTTTGAATTTCATAGTTGTGTTGTCATATCCTGCTATGGCAACCGAAAACAACTTTGAGCGAAATTAACAAGTTACTGCAATTGAGAGGCCTTGAAAAAGAAGGCGGTGGAAAAGGAAGTAATATTAATAATGCAGAGTGCTAAAGGTTAAGTAATATCTGCAATGGTGATCATGTGATCATGTCTCTTTTGATTCATGACTAAGTAGAAGATATTCCTGCAATAGGTTGCCATTTCTTTCTGCGGTAGACTGGTTGCTAACCAAGGCTACCAGTCTGTTCTGCTATTCAACCTATAAGAGGCATTGAATAGGGAGGGGATAAGATATGGATTCATAACTTTCCCAAGGATATTTGTGTGTAAGTGAATGTAACGAATATCCTTGGGAAAGGTATGAATCCATCTCTTTAAGTTATAGGTCAAATAGCAGGACAGAACTACAGTTCATATAGAGGCCATTTTTAATCAAATTCTCTTGTAATATTATCACTTTAATTTTCAATCATTTAATGACCTAGATTCTCATCTCAAAGCATATTGCATATCTGTCACGATTTGCATATATTTTTTTCTTTGTTTGTTAAGATTGATCATTGAAGTAAAATGATTGTTTTAATTTTTTTTCTAAGAAACAAAGTGCAATAACCAATTTAAATTGAAAGCTTCTTAAATAATAAGAAAGTAGATATACTGTACTTATTATAAATATGCACAGTATATAGAAGGGGTGGGGAAAAACTTTCATTGTCAAACAAGATGAAGTTTTTACTTTCAAACTGTAGACCTCTGCTGTAATAATTGTTACTTGTGCAACTGCTTAAACAGTGTTGAAATTATTCAAAAATAAATTTCAATTTTCTAATTGGTATAACTATGGCTACCGATTGGAAAATTGAAATTTATTTTTGAATAATTTCAACACTGTTTAAGCAGTTGCACAAGTAACAATTTTTTTCTAATCAGTATACCTATGACAGAGGAGGCACAGTGGAGTAATGGATAGCATCTCAGATTGAGGAATCAGAGAACTGAGTTCAAATTCCATTTGAATCCATTACATTCACTTACATGCTAATACTCTTGGAAAATGTATGAATCCTCTTCTTCTCCCCCCATCTATGGGTAAGTAGCAGGAAAGACCGGGCTCTATAACCCTGCATGGCAACTGGTCTACCGCAGAAAGAAATGGCAACCTACTACGGGGAAAAAAATCTGCCTCGTCAGTCATGTATTGAAAGATACCTGATTGCCTAAGCATGTATCATGCATGGCACATAACTAACTGATACCTATGGCTATGATTCCAAAACATGTAAGTTATACAATTTTATGAGTTGTTTGTCATATCCTGCTATCATTGTTGATTTTTATCATGATTGAACATATTTTGGTGGACAGGAAAAAAATATGCATATTATCTTTGATCGTATGAGTATCAAATAATAGATAGGGAACCTCACAGGAAAGTATCTCAGTTGAAAAAGATGACTATGTAAGTCTGATCAAAGGGTCCATAAACCTCTTTTGGAGTTATATCTTTCTTATGACCCATGGCAATCTTTGTATGTATGAAATTAAAAAATATCAATAACTATACTATTTACTATTATATATACTTTTCTACAATATAATAAACAAGTCTCAAGTTGCATATTAAAATCTCACACCACCAAATAAATTATTGTAAATATGTAAAAATAAAAAAAAAATAAAACAAGGGTGTGCTGAAGTTGGGGGAAACACTTAACAGGTTATTGTTCTCTTAATAATTAAGGTGGAACAGGCAGAGAAGGGAAAAGGAAGAAATAAAAACTGAACAATGACAAGTGAGGCCACTGCCTCATAAACCACAGCATGGTGGGCCGTATATAACATCCACAACAAAATATGCCAACAGAACATCTTTACAAGACACCAAATATCCAACTATACCAAAGCGGGTCTCACCAAAAGCAGACTGCCAACTACTGGTTTTCCTATTAGTTTTATTGACATGAAATGGTTGACAAAGTCCCAGATCTGGACACGTTGCAGAGAGGCTCGCATCTGAATATGTCGAGCTGTTCTGTTGCTAACAGAGAAACCTGGATGTGACTGTCTTTGATAGACATATCCACATGTGACTTCTGGCCTCTTTTGCATCTGTACTGATGCACATTTGTCAAAAAATATTTCTAATAAAAAGATACTGAAATCCACATAGTATATTTATCATATAAATATATCTTGAAAAGTCATCAGTTGGGTAATATTCATTTTGTGAAAAAATTTACTTGCATAATATAATATGTAGTATAGTCAATGATGAGTGGAACCTATGTTTTATAAAGAAGAAACATTGCAGACCTATTGCTACTCTAGTGCATTTTCCATGGTAAATGTTCAGGTGAGCTACATGCCTTAGTTTCAACAGCCCAGGCCTTTAAGAGCTAGGACACACCATGTCATGTGTACAGGCTCAGATCTTCCTAGTTCCCTTTGTATTCCATTGTTAAGAAACAAATTCCAGAGAGACAGCTTCTTCCTGAAAACTGCTACTTTGTAAAGGATGCTTCCCTGATCGCCACAATCTTAACCTCTTCAAATTTAGAGTCAACCATTATCTATCCTAAATATAATCTGCATTTACTTCTTCCTCTTACATCCTGTAATGAATAGTGACTTGGAGTGAAAAATCAGAACCAAGTTCAAATTCCAGTTGAGTTCATTACATTCACTTATGTGCAAATACTGTTGGGAAATGTATGAATCCACCTCTTCTCCACCCTTCTATGAGTTAAATAATATGATCTGTATCTGGAAAAATTATTGTTATCTAAAAAACTCTTTTAATGCAATATTTATTATTTACATTCAGATTATTGTCCTCATCTTTGTTGTTATCACATTTTGGCTGTTGTGCCTGCTGGCTTTTTATCAGGTGTATATCAGTTCAGGTCAACAAATCAGTCACGAACTAACTCTTTAATCCACTAGGCTATTGTCCCATGAGAAACATGGAGCCTTAAACCTAACCTGCCTGTTGGTTGAAATATAATATAGTCTGTGTAAATAGTGTAAATAAATAATAAATCTTCATCCCATAAATTCAAACTTACAAAACAAAAGAAATATTCTTACAATCAAAAAAATATCATTTGGCTTTAAATAAGCGTAAAGGGTTGATAAGCTATAAAAATACATATCCAAAATCACATGTCCATACAACCACCTCACTCAGTAACCCTCTACCATGAGTGACTCTTGGGCCTTGTATTGGGTGAACATATAAAAAAATGAAAAGTGAAATTTAACAAGAAGCCCTGTCAATGACAAAATATACCTTGTATGTTCCTTGATTAAACTGATTGATTAATTCATTTTCTATGGCTTATTAACCCTTTTCAGGTTATTTAAAGCCAAAAGATATTAATGATACAAGTCTTACTAATTAACTCATAGCTGGGTAGGAAGAGGTGCATTCATACCTTTCCCAAATGTATTTGTAAGCGAATATAACAAACCCAACATGAATTGAAAATCAGCTCTCATTACACTACCTGCACATCCAAGCTTACAGCACCTGGTATTCCCAAGCAGTCCCCCATCTGGCTACTGCCCAGTCTCAATGTTGCTTAACTCCAGTGATTGTATAAGGACCAATGTTTCAATGTGATATTGCCATAAGCCTTGATTAAACTAAGATAAACATACATAGATATTCTAGTAAATGTATGTTTTTTTTTTTTTGTTTTTTTTTTATGTCTAACAAGATAGGTGGTTGTTGGATCAACATTGCCTTCAGCAAACTCTGACTCTATCCTCCCAAATTCAGAATACATTTTTCAGTGCGTTTCAACATTTTATACAAGCCATATTATTTTCAAATATCTTTGCATATACAGGGGTTGGACAAAATAATTGGAACAGTTGCAAAATCCACTCCTATATTTCAAAGACCTATTATATTAAGAACTTTAACTAAAACTTCGTAATTGCAGGTTATATCTATTGTAAATACGTTTATTTATCTAATTTACTGTCATATTTATTTTTAGAATTTAGTAAAATTTAAGCTAAATGCGTGACCTCTCAGAGTTAAAAAAAAGAAAAAAAGAAAAGAAAAAAAAAGAGCTAATTGTTGGAGCTCGCATGGCAGGAGCCTCGATCACTAAGGTTGCTGAACTGTTTGGTTTTTCAAGAGCTACCATATCAAGAACACTGATGCAATTCGAGAAACAGGGCAAGACCTTTAGCAATTCGGGCAGGACTTGCAAACTTACTGACAGGGACTGATGTGCATTGAAACACAATGTGGCAAAAAATCATCGGACAAATGCGGCCAAAGTGACTGCTGAGTTGAATAAACATCTGAATAGTTCAGTTTCTACTAAAACTGTTCACCATGAGCTCCATAAGGCTGCATATCATGGAAGAGCCACTGTGAGGAAACCTCTTCTCTCCACTTGCAACATTCAAGAGGTTGAAGTGGTGCAGAGATCACAATACCTGGTCTGCAGACCAATGGAAGCAAGTCATAGTCTCAAACAAGTCCAGTTTTTCACTTTTCCCAACTTTAGGGCATGTTTATGTGTGGAGGCAGCCCAAAGAAGCTTACAACCCTGACTGTCTTCTTCCAACAGTGAAGCATGGAGGTGACATTTTGGGAGATCATGTTCATCCAATGGCCAAGACTTTATTTCCTGATGGTGACTGCATCTTCCAAGACGATAATGTTCAAATACATACCGCTCGAGTGGTTAAGAATTGGTATGAAGAGCATAAAAGTGTGCTAGAACACATAGAGTGGCCTCCCCAATCTCAAGATATCAATATTATTGAACATTTGTGGTGCATTTTGGAGCAACAAGTTAGGAGCTGCTATCCTCCACCATTGTGTTGTAAAGAGCTGGAGAAGGTTTTAATGGAAGAATGACTGAAAATTCCTCTGGATGAAGTCAGGAAGCTGTATGATTCCATTCCTAGACGCATTAAAGCTGTCTGTGAGGCTAAAAGAGGACCAACTCCATATTAAATAAATTTTCTTTGAATAAACAAGTGTTCCAATTATTTTGTCCAACCCCTGTATTTGAACATGGCTTAGATTTAATTTTTGTCAACACTGACATGCCCAATTATGTCAAATGTCATGCTCTTCTGCAGATCAGTTAACAAATGTTAGCCATTCAAATAATATTGCTTCATTGCTATGATGACAAAAGCAAAAATTACTCAAGTGCTTACTAAATTTCTCTTAAATAACAAAGATATACATTTTTATGTATATGATTGTGTGTGTGTATGTGTGACACACAAGTATATACATAAAATTTTTAAAAAAACTCTAATTTCAGTGAACTGATTTAAGATCCAACAGATACCAAATGGCTCTTTTATATATATATATATATATATATATATATATATATATATATATATATATACATATATACATACATACATACATACACACACAGAGCAACCTCAGTTCTGAACCACAATTTGTTCTAAAACAGAATTGTTAGTGACCTGAATCATTTTTTTTTTTTTACCATTAAACGTAAATTACACACAAAAGTGTAAATGAAAAAAAAAAACATAATAGAAGTAAATTTAACATATACAACACGATGATCGACTCAGAAATGATTGCATTCGGGTTAACTCGGTTCAGCTCAGTTCAGCAATGTTGTTCAAGAACTGAGGCATTTTCATCTCAAATTTTCTGTCCAAAAAACAAATTGTTCGACATGTAAGAGGTTTGAGAACCAAGGTTGCTCTCTGCGTGTGTGTGTGTGTGTAAACAGGCAGACAGATGTTCTCTTGAGTTTGGACATTGAATGTGATAAGTAAATTTAATCTGATTTATGGTCCCCACTTATCTTCAGAGATCCCCAACACATTTTTCCTCACATACAGTTTTGTGGTTCTTTCATTCTAACTTGAGGAAGCCAAAGAGGCCAGACACTCATCATTTATAGATTTTCCATTTTGTCTCATCATCTTTACATTTTTAAGTAAAGAATAAGAATTTTCATAAATTAATAAAATTATGTATCCATTTATTCTTAAATATGAACCTCAAATGTATGTTCTTCCAAAAATATTCCGCACAAAAAAAAAAAAATGTTAAAAAATTCAGAAAATTTAAAAAATATGCAGATATCAATGATGTCATTTTTTAAAACTTAACATCTGTAAATAGCAGCTAAGCTGTTATAACTTAGCTTAAAACCAATTACTCTGTAAAAGTCAGGGATCAATTTAACACTGTATTGATATTATAAACAAGACCCTAAAATGATAACAAATCAATATTTTTTTGATTCTGACAAGTTTTGCAACTTAAGGTATAAAGAATGCTGATATACAAAAATGATTTCTGTCTGCATTTCTTCGATGCAGAGTTATTATTTACATGCAGACAATTGTCCTCATCTTTGTTGTTGCTATCACCACGATAACAGCAACAAAGATGAAAGCAATAGTCCACATTTTAATAGTGTAGATAATTACACAAATTAGTTCTTAAAAAATGTTCTCTACTTTTTTATGAGCAGACCAGTCTCTTTAAATAGTGCCAAATAATTCTATTTTTAAAATTTTTCTTGTTTTATCCCACAGGACTCCTGGCAGTGGTTTATATGACAATCTACAACAGTACAATATTCCTTATCCACAAGCAATATTTGATATCGATTATTTTCATACTGATCCTTATCCATTTTTTGCCCTTGCCAAAGAACTGTACCCATCTGTGAAATACCGCCCAAACTATAATCATTATTTTTTGCGACTCCTTCATGAACATGGCTTGTTACTGCGCCTCTACACACAGAATATTGATGGTCTTGAGAGGTGTAAGTATAATTTTAATCTTGTCTTGGTTACCTTGGACTGTTGTGCCCTCCAGCCTTCATCAAGTGTATATTCAGACAGAATAGGTTTTATATATATATATATATATATGGCAAACATGGGCCTTGATGCCAGCAAAAGTAAGTGTTTCAAAAGGACAATTTTTCATGTGACACCACTATCATTTTAACTACATTAACTTTGTTAGCAATGTTTATTTACAAGACTATAAAAACTTATTTAGATTTTTATAAAAATGTATTATTTACCATTTTATAAAGAAATAAATGTGAAAAGAAATCTTTTTAAAAAATTATAAAAATATGTAACCTATCTGCCAGTGGTGTCAATGGAAAAATTATCCTTTTTGAAACACTTTTTTTAAGGCATGAAGGTCCATCTGTCTATATTTCTGAGATGAGGTGTTATGTACACTATTTACATTATTCGAACTATTGTCCTCATCTTTGTCGCCATATTTATTATGTTTCAGCCATTGTATGCTCCGGCCTTCTTCAGGTGGTTGAAATGTCAAACGCAACCCTTTATTTCGCTCACTGGGATAGACTGTTCTAGTTCCACGTGCCATGTTTAATGGATGTTAGTTATCAGTTATCTCCTGTTAATTCCCCTCTGAAGGACACATGGCACAGTGGATAAAGGCGTTACTTAGATCCAGTGACAAGACCCAAGGAGTGTGAGTTCAATATCCAGTTAAGGCAGTGGAGAACTTTCAGAGGGGGAATTAACAGGAGATAACTGATAACTGACATCCATTAAACATGGCACGTGGAACTAGAACAGTCTACCCCAGTGAACGAAATAAAGGGTTCAATTTGACATTCCAACCACTTGAAGAAGGCCGGAGCGTACAACGGCCTAAACGTTGTAATAAATATGGCGACAAAGATGAGGACAATAGTCTGAATAATGTAAATAATGAAGGTCCATGTTTACCAAAATATGATTATTTAGTTGTATTGGGTTGGAAACAAAGTTCCCACACAAGTTTATATATATTTTTATTAAAAGTTGTGCAGTAACTTTGTTTCCAACCCAGTAATTCCTGTATTTCATTGGTTCTGTTATTGAAAAGAATTAAAATTTGCTTTTGACTAATGTCCTACATGAATGTTATTTGTCTCCTAATACCAACTGGAACAAATATAAGAACCATAAGGTAGAAAATTTTGTAAATTCAAAATTATTTTCGTTTTTGTTTTTATATTTTTCAATAATTCTAGCTCTCAAAGATTTTTTTGCTGCTGATGTTCCCATTCTTTTTCACATCTTAAAGCATCATAATTGACAACTGATGGTGCATTCAATTATGGACTTTGTTTCAGGGGACAAGTCACTATTATTAGAATGCTTAAACCAGTTTGGGGCAGATATTTCATTATCTTCCACTTATCAAATTCTGGGAGTAGCTTCAGCAGTTTTGAGGCCCAATTTAAAATAATGCCCCCAAATTGCCTGAATCTCTGTACTAGTATCTACAGTGCAAAGTGTAACTTTTTTTTTTCTTTTCTTTTTTCCTTAATCATTTCACCCCAAGCAAGGCAATAAAGCCACACAAAGATGCAAGGGTTTTACTGAGTGTGAGAGAATATGAGAAAAAGTAAAACGCTATTAAGGAGGGAGAACAATGAAAGAATAGGAATTAAGAAGACAAAAGATAACGATTGACATTGCATTTAAATTTTTAAGATCAAAATTGACTGAAATGCAAGCTGCCAAAAGACAATGCCACAAGCAAGAAGTGTGAGAGAAGAAACTATTAGCAAAGAACTTATGTGTACATTTAGCCATTTCAACTGTAAAATGATGAGACCTAGCTGCCAATCTAGTACTGCACTTAAATTTGTAAAGTCAAGGTATTATCAAAGATAAAGGCTCACGGAACAATTACCATGAAAATGTTCATAGAAAAGGCACAGGAAAGCTACATTATGGCAGTAGAAAAGTGACTGAAGCCAAGATGTCAGTTTAGGACTGATAATTGATAATGTTGCTGATTCTTCATTGGATTTTATCAAGAATCTGTAAATACATAGCACATTATTTACATTATTCGGACTATTGTCCTTATCTTTGTCGCCATATTTATTACAACGTTTCGGCCATTGTATGCTCCGGCCTTCTTCAGGTGGTTGGAATGTCAAACTGAACCCTTTATGTCACTCACTGGGGTAGACTGTTCTAGTTCCACGTGCCATGTTTTAATGGATGTCAGTTATCAGTTATCTCCTCCTGTTAATAGCACCCAAAGAGTGTGAGTTCAATACCCGGTTAAGGCAGTGGAGAACTTTCAGAGGGAAATCAACAGGAGATAACTGATAACTGACATCCATTACAACATGGCACGTAGAACTATAGACAGATACTGAAATACATAGCAGAAGCTGAAAAGTATTGATAAAGATATAATAATGATATAATGGAGATAGTCTTAAGATATGTTCATGAAATGGGCTCAAAAAAATGGGAGCAGTGAGTACTTTTGGCCCTGATAATAATCTAGTGGCATCTTGGATAGTCTTCAGATGGATACATGAAATAAGCTTTGTTGTAAAAACCTGTTAAAAAAAAAAATAAGTAAGTTCTTTTGATATTTGGCCTGTCTTACAGAGTTCTGATCCTCAAAAAATAAATTTTCATTTTTCCTGATCAATTTTTTATTCTCTATAACAATTAATCTGTAAAAAGTTATCATGAGAATGTTTCATGAATTATCAAAAAGAACTATTGACATATGGTGCATGTTTAAAAAGTATTCTTCATTATAATTTTAATAAAAAAAAAAAGTACTTTGCCTCTGTTATGGCACCTTAGTCCCCTTGAAAGTACTCCCTTTACAATCTCACACAGTTATTCCCCATTATTCTTTCCATTGTGCTGTAATTTAATTAACACTGACCTGGCATCTCAACTTCAGTCACTTTCTCGTTGACATGACATGGCTTCCCTCTGTCTTTCATACAAATATTTTCATGGCGATTGTTCTGATGAGTTTTCCTCCGTGATGATTCAACTGCATGAATTTAAGCATACTACTTGATTGGCAATTAGGTCTCGCCATTTTAATGTTGAACACTCTAGATGTAACTGTCAGTTCTATTCTAACAGTTTCTTTTATTGCCTGTGGAACTCCCTTCCAATTTCTTACATCCCTGTCACCTACCATCTTCAAAAGTTCAAATGTATTGTCAATCGCCATCTTGTCTTCTTGAATCCTGTTCCTTTATTGTCCTTTTTTCACTTCCCTTCACTAAAGTCTTCTCCTTATCTTTCACACCCTGTAATCTCTGCATCCTAATGGCATTATTACCTTGCTTGGGGTGAAATGATTTAACAAAAAAAAAAAATAAATAAATAAATAAAAAACTCTTCAAAACAGTTTGCAAGGTCCTTATCTGCAATCACCATCAATCTTTGGTTTGCCAAGTTACATGAAGATCTTGAACTAGTTTGTGAAATATTCAAAATGGCTGGATACATTCTGGACAAATCTTGTATTCTAACAAAATCAAGTATATAGTTAATCAATTATTGATTACCTACAAATGTTTCCTGAAATTACTGTTCATCCTTTATTTTGCCTCCAACCCACCCCACCAAAAAAAAAATTATGGTTGATGGATAAAATTGTTAACATTATTACTAAATATCCTGAACTTGCATTTCTATTTGTTCAATTTTTTTTTCTCTCTTTCTCCTTCTACCCAACTTACTCAGTGGCTGGGATTCCTCTATCCAAATTAGTTGAGTCCCATGGCAATTTCTCTCATGCTACATGTACCACTTGCCGCAAAAAATATAAAGGACATGAAATTAAGGTATGTTTCTATTTTGTTAAACTTTCTGTCATGTTTTGTATTTTTTTTTTTTATGAACCACATAGCAAATTAAACTTTAACGAAAGTATTTTTATAATTTCTAAGGTTGCACTTTTTTCTTTTTTGCAAATTCTGTATTGATGTTTTTTCTCATTTAAGGGAATGCTGAAAAATTCTCAGGCCAACCCTTTGACTAAATGACAAAAGCATCCGTTCATTTTGCAATTTCCTCAAGTAGGGCTGAGAATTTTTCAGCACCCGCACATCATATAATATTGAGATTAGCATAAAATATAAGATGCATTGCAAATTTCTTACAATTATTAAGTGTTCATGCAGTACCAAAATTAGTATGGACTTTGGTATCTCACTAAGATTGCAGGGTACACACCCAATGAAACTAGAAACTAGGATGCATTAAAACCACACAGATACATACATATATATGTGTGTGTATAGCCTGCTAAAAAGGGTAGTGCAACTTGGTGTGAAGATCACATTAAAGTATGAAACTGACAGTCAATATACAGCGTTGATTCCGATGTCTACTCTCCTATCTTTCTCTCTCTCTCTCTCTCATATATAAGGGTGTTTCATTAAGATGGATCAAAGTCAGCAGTAAATAAATCAGTGTTATTGGTGAAAATTTATTTATTTCTCTATTGGATCATGTCATGGCAATTATGTGCGAAAAATAATATCACCCAAATGTCCGCCAAATTTAAAAGAAAAAGAAAAAATCATTAGACACTTAAACTTAATTTACATTTAAAATCAGTCCAAGTTATTGGAACACTCTTAATATATATATATATATATATATATATAATATATATATATAATATAATATATGTGTGAAAATATATAGAAAATAGGAAGGAACTGGTTAGGTAAATAATCCAAAGTCCCCTTAGTATTTTAGTTATTATTTTTTTAAAAATAGTGCTCTGATACAAAAGTAAAGCATAAATATAATTATTTATTTAAAAATATGATTCCAAATCGCTACATAAGAAGTCCCATGTTTCAAAAACTAGAGCCAAAACTTCAATATAATCCTTTAAATTAAATTGAGTTGAAAGTAAAATGGGCTCCGTTCCATCCTCAAGCGAAATTTTGTTGAATAACATATATCTGAAATTTACTTGTTTTAAAATTGAAATCAAAATCCCCATGGTAACAGCTATGGTGAATTTTCTAAATTGGGTAGGCGAGTGTAGGGTGTTTATATTAAGTAGCGGTATAGAGATACTTTCAAGGTGTCAAGTCGGGGAAAGGTGGGGGTGTCAAAAATGAAACGGAAGATGTATTGGCCATCGTCTAGTTTGCTTGTCTATGGAGATTTATTTATTTATTTTATTTTATTATGAAAGGGAATTGTGCATATTAAAAAAAAAAAGAAAAACTTTCGTAACGTTTGTTTTTTGACGACTTCATAAAGGGTTATCTTATATGTAAGGTTTGGGATGACCCATGCCCTTTGTGCCTCCATGAAAAATTGCACATCATTAAACTTCTAAATAATAATAATCTATTAAATAATAGACACGAGTTAACGGTTTTTTGTAGGCATCATCAGATTTTTGGTTTGAATTATTAGATAAAAAAAATTTATATAACTTGTTTAACAAATAGCCCAATCATCAGATTCATAGTAGGAATAATTAACTACAAACATGCATACTACATAACACACTTCATAATCCATAGCCTAAATTAGTAGTTTAAATACCTTACATATAAGATAACCCTTTATGAAGTCGTCAAAAAAAAACGTTACGAAAGTTTTTTTTTTTTTTTTTTTTTTTTATGCACAATTCCCTTTCATAATAAAATAAAATAAATAAATAAATCTCCATAGACAAGCAAACTAGACGATGGCCAATACATCTTCCGTTTCATTTTTGACACCCCACCTTTCCCCGACTTGACACCTTGAAAGTATCTCTATACCGCTACTTAATATAAATACCCTACACTCATACCCAATTTAGAAAATTCACCATAGCTGTTACCATGGGGATTTTGATTTCAATTTTAAAACAAGTAAATTTCAGATATACGTTATTCCAACAAAATTTCGCTTTGAGGATGGAACGGAGCCCATTTTACTTTCAACTCAATTTAATTTTAAAGGATTATATTGAAGTTTTCGCCTCTAGTTTTGAAACATGAGACCTCTTATGTAGCGATTTGGAATCATATTTTTAAATAAATAATTATATATATATATATATATATATATATATATATATAATATAAATGGACTAAGTCTGGCAACTATTTTTATAGATACAAATATTTTTTTTATAGATACAAATATTTAAGTAAATGTTCTGTTTATAATAAACAGTATTAACAACATTTACTGTCCTGAATGTCCAAGAAATTTCATAAAATTAAGTGGGGTTAATGGATTTAAAAAAAAAAAAATTTACCAAGATTTTCTAAAAATAAAATTTCAAAATTAATTTAATTCATTTGTGAATAAGTTCTGAAAATTTTTTTAAAATCCAACAATTATTTGATTTTTGCAAAGATTTCCAAAACAATTGTTTTTTTATCCAAGCTATTATCCACCCACACATCCAAGCTTACAGTACCTAGTCTTCCCAAGCAGTTACCAATCTAGGTACTGACCTGGTTTTATGTTGCTTAACTTCAGTCATCAGATGAGAAACCAGTGTTTCAATGTGCTATGACAGGAAGTTGTGGAGAGCCATGATTGCCTATGTTGGGAAGTGACATGGTAAATGAAAAAGATGCAGTAGTAGATGCAATAGTTGTTTGAATTTCTTAGATGAAACTATGCTATTATTATTATCCATTTTTAACTACTCTTTCATCTTATTTTTGTTCTATTTTATGTAGCATTCATAAATTAATTTAAGTGATGGGTTAGTTTTGGCAGCCTAATCAGTAAAGCAGTGTCCCAGTAAGACAGTCCTTAGGATAAAGGACACAAGTTCAAATCTTAATGGAAGAATATTCCTAAACTTCCAAACCACATTTTTTTAATGGACACAGAATGTTAAAAAAAAAAAAAAAAAGAGAAAAAAATAACTGATTGAAGAAGAAGAAGAAGAAGAAGAAAAAAAGTATTCAAATATGAATAAAGATTTCATTTTGTCCCACTTTTGGATGTAGCCTCACTGCAGCTGCCATCACATTTATTGTCCAGGGATTCATTAAATTTAAAGAGGAAGAGGTTCTCAAAAGTTACTGATGTTCACACAGCTAATGGCTCATTAATTCATTCAGTCATATTTATCTTCATTATGTCAACATGTCAAACACTGAAACTGGGAATAAGGTCATGAAAATCTGGTCTGCTTCAGATGTGGACTAGCAAGATAAACAATGCAATCACTTGATACCACCCACTTTCTTTTTAAATCTATATTTGCATAACATTCTTACTGTGTGTGTATAATATATATATATATATATATATATATATATATATATATATATATATATAATGCATTGGAGCAGCAGATCATTATTCAAAGATATATTGTTAAATATAACAAACAACAAATGTCTATTATGTTTGATCATGAGCCATTCAAACTTCATATATTTGCTTCAATTTCTGGAGAAAATAAAGACAAAAATTGTCCAACATTTGGATATTTTTTTTTATAATGCTGGAAACTTTTGGCTCAAAGGAGCCATCATCAGAGTGGTTATATGGACATTTAAACAAAGGTGTATGTATGTATGTATGTATATATATCTATATATATATAAAAAAAATCATGGACTCTCCTGTCGTTGATTGACGCAGGCTGTTGACCCGCACATACCGGGAACCCTTTTATGATGTATGAGGGTCAGGCACCTCAGTCCCTAGGAACCAACTGCCAGACAACCTGCCCATATGATTTGATTATAGTGGTGAAGGTTTTTTGCAGAAGTAACCACACTTTTTGAAGAGCCGAATACAGAGACCTGGTGCGCACATGCCACAAGGTCCCTAAATGACCATCTGCAGGTTTTGAATTCAGAGTTGTCTTTCTCTTAGACCAGCTGCCATCTAAGGCTATAGAACACAGTCTGTCCTGCTATTTACCCATAGCTGGGGGGAAAAGAGGATGATACATACCTTTCCCAAGGGTATTAGCACTGCTCTCCAATTCCTCAATCTAAGCTGCTATCCCTTACTCCATCATGCCTTCTTATATATATATATATATATATATATATATATATATATATATATATATATATACACACCCACCACTGAAAATTGATTTAAATTTGAACAAGGAAAAACCAGGAGATGGAGGTCACATAAGCAAGATCAAAATGATACAATATGAACTTCAAATTGAGCAAGAAATCACCAATCAGTGGGTAGTACATTACAATACAAATTTGTTGCAACAATTCAACTGTCAATATTAATGTTGAAATCTGCTCATCAATTCATTCAATCAAATATTACATTAATTATATATCAAAGGAGTCAGATCAAGGTGTTTTTGCACAAACCCCTCACTGACTTTTTTTTTCCTTTTGATTTAAATTAAATTTAAATTTGAACTCCTATCCAAAATATAGGAGAAAGCTGGAGGTCATATCTGGAAGGTCATTGAGTAATATTGAAATGCATCATTTTTCTTCACAAATTATAACAATGATTTAAAATCAATCAACATTTTCTTACAAAAAAAAAATGTGACATGCAGCAAGGCACACGTAATTTAGCTAGTTTATGTATAAAAGTGCTCAATATCTGGGATAGAGCATGTGTATTAGTGGATACTGAAGTTAACATCAATAGGATGACTTCACTCTCTATTTATTTATTTATATATATATATATATACACACACACACACTATTGGAACAAAATTTGGGGCAACTTTATGAATTTTGAAGAATAGCCTAAAAATTGAAAATTGTATGCCTTTTGCAAAACTAATTTACTAATTTTTTGTGAGTTTTTCTCTCGTTCCAAGAATTTTTCTTTTATGGAAAACTCATTGTGAAGAAACTTGTCTGTAGTGATTGTTGTCCCAAGGGAGAACAATCACTACAGAAGCATTTTCTCATCCTCATAAAAGAAAAATAATTAGAATGCTAGAAAAATTAAACAAAAATCTCCCAAAATATTTCTTGCCCATTGTATTCAATGAAACATGTCCAAATATACTATATATTAAGTACCTCCACCGTTATGAAAAAGACCCCAAACTTGATGAAAACAGTTTTATCATCAAAATGTTTATATTATTATTAAGAGGAAAGACCAAAGCATTGTTTTATTATTTTATTAAATTTTTTCATCCTTTCTAGCATATCCAAAATTTTGGCTCTCCAATTTCCAATTCCAGCTGGGTTCATTATATTCAACTGCCCCCCCCCCACCTGTGAGTTAACTAGTAGGACTTGTATAATTATCTCCCCCTCCCCATTCTTACAATCTAAAAATATTTTCTGGCTTTAAATAACCTGCATAAGGTTGATAAGCCATTAACAAACAAACAATCAATCAATCACAACTTCCTGTCTTTTGTTGTTTTAAATAACTGTTGACTTTTCACCATATATTTTTCCCCTGTTCTGTCCATTCACACAAACTCAAGTCAGTTACTGTCTGTTTCCTGCTGTTTCTTTTGCCTTCAATATGCCCTGTTGATGTTAAATTCTCCAGGCCCTCTTTCCTCATTGTGTTCCCAAAATTTCAACTCTTTCTATCAATGTCCTTGTAGTTCCTATTTTCCTTAACATTACTTTATCTCTGTTGCTTCAATCCCCGTCTTCATCTCTGTTGCTTCAATCCCCGTCTTCATCTCTGTTGCTTCAATCCCCGTCTTCATCTCTGTTGCTTCAATCCCCGTCTTCATCTCTGTTGCTTCAATCCCCGTCTTCCTCTCTGTTGCATCAATCCCCGTCTTCATCTCTGTTGCTTCAGTCCCCGTCTTCATCTGTGACATTGTCCTGCAGTCGTGAGATTAGATGTTATATATTTTCAGTGTTTCTGATGATATTTTCCCAAGTTTTAATATTTTACTTAGTTTCTTGAAGGCATCTTATGCTATTCCTGTGTGACTTTGGATTTATGTGCCACATTTTCTGTCATCTGTTATTACATTACCCAGATAGTGAAATTTCTGTACCAGCATGATTTTGGCATCCTCAGCTATCAAACATATAGAATAAGTAAGGTTTTATGGCTTCACCAATTCACTGTAACATTTTAAGATAGTATAAATAAATAACCCAGAATAATTTTTCTATTTGGTTATGTAAATTCATTCCTTTTTATCATTTATTTTAATACTTGTAATTTAGTAATAGTTCTGATAAATCCTTCAACTATATATTCCCTTTCATTGTTTACAACCTCTTGCCTACGATTCAGTAACTGTTCAATTCCTCGTCAATAGAAATCACTAGTTTTTGACTTGGAAAATTCATCAAGCTGTGTTTCACCCTCCATGTTGTTGTTGAATGAAACAACCCTCAAATTGTTATAAAGTTACTGAAAGAGGTGATAGTCTGAAGGGCTAAATTGGGAGAATATGCTGGGTGTGGCAGAACTTCCCAATTAAGTTCTTTAATTACATGGGAGTGAGCATTGTCATGTTGAATAATCACACTATCACTGGTCAAGTTTTTTCAGCTAAATTGCCTCTTTGCGCCTGTTCATTTGTTCAAAATAATGGGTTAGCATTTCATTTCTGTACACAACACAAATGTCCTGAGCAGCTTTTTGACCTTAATTAAAAGAAAAGAGAAGATGTTGATCATGTTCATTTTTGCCTACTTGGCATTCCATCTCAAAGGGATGTCTAAGCTGAAATAAAATTTCAATAACATTAGAAAACCGTTTCACAGGATGACCAGAATTACTAAGAAGTAAAAAATACTACAAAAGACTATTCTTCAAGATCATTTGCAGAACATCAGAAAAAATGAATGACTATATGTAACAACCTAATACTTGATACTTTGCAACCTTACAAAATGTTTGTTTGTTTTCAAATCTACAGAGTCATGGTTAAAGTGCTTATCTCGTATACTATTGCTAGTAAGGTTATTACTCACTAAATGCTTAATGAATCTTGTTATAAAGTATAATTATATTTCAGTATACTTTGCTCTTTTTATATATTTGTAAAATCTTTTCACTTTCATGTAATTTTTATTTTCAGGCTGCAATATTCAAAGATGAAATTCCTGTCTGCCGTGATTGCAAGGTGAGTAATACTTGGTGTTATTTTCATTCCCGTTCTTTCATTGGTTATCACATTAAACTAATGGTTAAAAACTACAGTGGGCATGTAGCTGAGTGGTTAGAACAATGGCTTTCCAACCGTGAGACCTATGTTCAAATCACTCTGTTTGATTTGTCAGGTGAATTCTTGTGATCCTAGTGTGGAGCATCATTGAAAACTATACCATGGATTGACCCAAATTTGTGAGTGAAATTGGGTTCATAAGTATTCACAGATGGTTATGCTAGCACAAAGTCACAAGTCATTGTGACCAAGGGTTTTATTCAAACTGTTCATGAAATTTCACTTCTTACATTGTTGGGCCATGAGGAATCATTCCATGCTGCTAGTACCATCTAACCCTTTATCAACCTGTTACATGCTGCTTGGAGAGGAGATGGGCACTGCCCAGCAGCCCGCCATTGCTATAAAATATGCTTTGAGGGTAAATTACTCAGTATGGCACTCCAACAATCTAATGCATAACATCACGAGATGGATGCATATTTTGTGTTTAAAAAAAAATCTTATATGTTAGCTTGTACAACTTCTTATATGTTACTTGGAGAGGAGTTGGGTGTTGTTGCTTTAAAAGAAATTATTTTGCTTAGCATGACACTTTGACAGTCTAAAAGATCAAAGAAAATTTGTATCTTATATGTTGTGTTATAAATGTTTGGTTGTGGGTAGTGATGGGACGATACCAATATTTTTACCAATTCCCAATACTGTTCTAAATTTATGATTCCAATACCTACAATGATTAAAATTCATTATTTTCAGGTCCTACAGTTGGTTTCAGAAAGTTAATGAACAAAGTACATTTATTAATAAAATATCTAATAGAAAAATGAATACAAAAGCTTATGAAATTGTAAGTATATGTAGCTGAGTTATTGAAATTCACTCCTGTCGCACCAGCGGTGTCCCTTCAAGTCATTCCCGGTGTTAACAAAGGCTGGCTTTTTATAGTGTCTAGTGAGGTCACTACACAGGTTTTTCAGTCACATGAGACATCACCTAGTCCTCACAGATTGAGTTTCCTGTGCACAGCACAGGCAATCTTATGTCGCTTACACTGAGGGGAGGGGTGACAGCCTGTGTCCACTACAGAAATAAAGATAAATTCTTTTTTATTTAAAAAAATTGGGTAAGAGTTTAAACAATAAAGAGAACAATTTCTTTACATAAATCACTTAAAGTACTTAGCTACAGTTGACATTTTGCTTTATTTTGGTTATCATCAGAAATCTTTAAAAAAAAAAAAAAAACTTCCAAACTACACTTTTCTGCTTGGCATTGAATACACTTGCCATAATTGGGGTCTGAAAATATTTAATCACTACAAAGTTTTACTGTCTAAAATAAATTTGTCACAACTAAAAAATTTAATAATTTCTAAAAAGAATCAAGAAGTGTTTTATTTTTGTAAAAAAAAAAAAAAACACTAAAAGTGCAACAACATAGTAAAAACATAACCCTTGATATTTTTAAAAGAGATATAAGCAATTTTAACAAACATTACAATAAATTTTTAAAAAAAATATTAGGAAGTTCAAAGCTAAATAACACTGATATCCAACTTGATCATTTTAAGGTATGAGATTCAAATGTTCCAAAGAATTTAAATAAAAATAAGATTAAAAATTATTAAAATCTTCAGAAGGATGAGAACAACTATAAATGTGTATCTTTTGCATAGGATCTTTTTTTTCCCTCCCCCCCAGTTATTTATTAGATTATTAGAAAATGAAATTTTACGAGTTTTATTTCTAAAAATATTAAAACAGATCATGTTAAAAGTAAAAAAAAAACTATAGTGCAATCACACCAGATAAAAATGGGATAAAAATACTCACCTTTTAACTTTTTTTTTATACACTTCTATTTATAAAATTTGTATCTTGTTTGGCTCCAGGGAGGAGTAAATGAGAAAAAATGTTCAAAATATTTTAAATGCCATAATAGTTTCACAGGAAATTTCTATGAAATTAAATACAATTTTTGTTAGGAATTAAATTTTAGGTTTTTTAATAGAAACTTTTGTGTGAAAAACTTTTTTTCAGAAACCTTCAAATAAAAGTTTGTTTATTTTTTTTTAAGTAAAGATAAAAATTTTAAGAAATACATGAATTTTGTAGAAACAAAATTAAGTTTCATAAAAAGAATGTTTACTTTTTTAAGTCTTGGTTATTGAAAAGAAGATTTATTTTTGTTTACATAGCATACTACATAAACAAAAATAAAATCTTTTCACGAACTGACACTAAAAAATGATTTTAAAACTATTATAAAAACAAATTGTTATAATTTAACTGCTTCACCATGAGGACAATTTGTGACACAAGGTCAATTTTTTATGTCAAGAAATCAAATGACATTGGCAGGAATTCCATACAATATTTTTTTTTTTTTTTTTTTATACATTAAAAAAATAATAAAAATTGTCTTAAAAGACAGCCTAGCAGAACAACATGAACTCATTTTGTGTTTATATTACATAATTTTGATTATAATTATTAAATTAATAATTCATGATATTGTTATAGGTGAGTTAACAATGTTTAAAAAGAAATTAAAAATAAAAATTTTACTTTGAACTGAAACAGATTTTAAACTAGCAAACTTATGGAAAGTTTGAAAACTGAGTAGAAACTTGCACTTTTTTTTTTTTTTTTACACAAAAAAAAAATTACATCATACATAGGTGTTATTATGATGTATAGATTTTAGTTTTACTGATAGTTTAAAATCAATAAATATTTATATTTTTTATCATTTAGTACCAGGAATGGAAAATTAAGTTTTAAACAAAAAATCCAAAGAATCGTTTTTGGAATCAGAAATTAGGTTAAAAATTCTCTGATGTCAATTCCGATACCCCAAAAAGTTCCAGTTTTTCTGATTCTAATTCCATTTAATCATCCCATCACTAGTTGTGGGTGTGACGCTATGTGGTTAGAATGGTAGCATTCTGACCATAAGACCCAGGTTCAAATCTCATGATGGTCAATTTGTCACAGAGGTGACTGGGAAGATGATCACTGTGTGCAGCATGTCGGGAAGTGCCTTGGAAACAGTCCCACAGGTTAACCCAAGGCTTGTAGGTGAAATTGAGTAGATGGAATTGTTTACTGATTGTTGTGCCAGAACTAAGTCAAACATCATTGTGATCAAAGCTTGAGCATACTGGCTGTGTTCAAATTATTGATCACGTCAGACAATTCACTCTCCCTCAGAAACTGAAACTAAGGTCTGCTCAGCAGTATAAAGCATAGACTGTGTGGTTGTTGAACAAACATTAAAGTGTCTCTGAGCAGGTGCCTGCAACAGCTACCCTAGCAGACATACTTATGAGCAGCCAGCCATTATTATAAGCTACAGTTCAATATGAACTGTAATTTACTTGGGGGAAAAAAGACCACTTGATTTCAAAACTGGTAGAGAGAAAAAAAATTGGAAAATTTAAACCTTCATGCCTGTATAAAAACGGAGTGTCAAAAGGACAGTTTTTTTCCTTGACCTTTCTATTATTTGAATTATTTTCCCTCCCTCAGCAGTGTTCATTGCTTTAAAAAGCAATAATTAGAATTGAAATAAAACAAAAAAAATATGAAAATGAATTTATACATTTTCTTTGTTTTTGAGAATTTAGAACAAAAATAACAAACATTATTTATTTATTAGATTGTTTATTTACATTTATTATTGGCAAACCATTGGCAAATTCCCAGTTGATTCAAACTTTATAAAATAGTAAATAATAAAGATTTCCTTATAGTTTATTCACATATTTTAATAATTTCGTAAATATTTATAAAGCTATGAATAAAAAATTTTTATTTTTATTTCTTTATAAATTGGTAAATGATAAATATTACATTGCATTAGTTTTAATACAATTCTATTAATTTTTAGAATGTTATAAATATAAAATTGTTCTTGTAAATAAACAATCTAATTAATAAATAGTGTTTGATATTTTTGTTGTAAGAACAAAAAAAATGTATAAATTCACTTTCATCATATGTAAAATTTTATTCCAATTCTAATCATCATCGCTTTTAAAATAATAAACATTACCAAGGAATGAAGGTAGTTAAAATAATACCATTTTTCGGTGGGGGGGGGGGGTTTGACACTTTTTTTTTTTTTTTTTTTTTTTTTCCCAGGCTTGAAGGTCCAAGTTTGCCAAAAAAGATTTATCTTTGTTATTTTCATTAACCTAGTCATATGGATGGACAGCATTATCTTTTGTCTGTTTCTTTTCTTGAATGACTTTATCATATAGCTTGTCTCCAAGGATCCAGATTCTAAACTTTTTTTTTTTTTTTAAATTGATTGTTCCCTCTGGCTTTCATCAGGTGTATATCAATCTGTTTGCTCATTCTCCTTAGTATTTTATCAAGAATCTGTAAATACACTATATATATATATATATATATATATATATATATATATATATATATATATATATATATATATTCAGATTATTGTCCTTATCTTTGTTGTTATCACATTTCGACTGTTGTGCTCTCCAGCCTCCTTCAGGTGTATATCATAAATTAAATAAAGGGTTCAGTTCAGAATTCCCTGTAGGTTACCCAGATCAATATTCACCTAAGGAAGTTTGGCGGGCACAATAGCAAAAACATTGTAATAGCAATAACAAAGATGAGGATAATAGTCCAAAATATAAATAGTGTAAATAAAGATAACTCCTCATCCCCACCCCCAAAAAAATATATATTCTCATTCTCAAAGGAAAAAACTTAACCCATCTCAAAAAATTCAGTAATAAATTTATTTCAGCGGGTAAGTTTTTAATACCTGTCTCATCAGACCAAAATTACAAAATTACAGACCTACTTGGATTATATATATATATATATATATATATATATTGTATTTGGGGAGTGCTATCAAATATAGTAACTAATATGATCAAGAATACTGACTTATTATTTTGTCTTTACCAGCAATACTAGAATGTATATTAATGTGTCCATGTTATATGTAATGTATGTAATTTTGAAGCATAAAGGAGGAAGAATCTTTTGTTAATTGTAAATTATGTTTCAAATTTTCAGGGCACAGTGAAACCAGATATTGTTTTCTTTGGAGAAGATTTGCCTGAAAGTTTCTATCAATACCATAAGGACATGAGCCAAGCAGATCTTGTACTCATCATGGGAACATCTCTTCAGGTAAATATCTTCTTTACTCTTTACATGTATTATGGTCTGTCAATTGCTTACCTATTACTAAGGAAGCTGTCAGGGGGTGCATATCTCCACCATTACCATTGTCAATAAAAATTGAACAATTGTGTTACATATCACAGATATGTTTTTTTTATGATCATATTTACTATTGGCATAAGTATAGTGATTTCCTCGTGTAGCTTAGATGTGGCACAAGGCCAAAAGTATGGAGCACCTAGTGAGGATCGAACTCACTATTCAGTCATAATTGATCTAGCAAGACAAGCTTGCTAACCATTATACCACATCAAATTTTTTGTTAATTTAATTTTTTAATAGTTTTTTTTTTTTTTTAAAGAATGGTATATCTCAATGTTAACAAAATTAAAAAAAATCCATTATTTACCCCTAAATTTAATCCATTGTTCCTTGGCACATGGTCCACAAAACATTATTGAAAATCAGTCAGAACTTTTGGATACTGAATATACTTGTGTATAAGCCAACTTTATGTATAGTGCAATCCCCTCTTTTTTTTTTTTTTTTTTTTTTTGCATTAATTTTACTTGATAGAATCAATCTAGAACTGTCATGCCTTAACACATATACATGCACATACATGCAGACATATTTTAAACTACTCAGTTATCCACACAGAGGCACACTGGAGTAATAGATAGCTGCTCGGACTGAGGAATTGGAGAGCCGAGTTCAGATTTCGAATCCATTACATTCACTTACGTGCTAATACCCTTGGGAAAGGTATGAATCCTCTTCTTCTCAAAAAGATACATGAGCGCCTAAGCGTGTATCACGCATGGCACATAACGTAACTGACAGTTGTCCCGAACTCCAACACCACTGGAAATATTGAAATGATTTGCAGGTATTCAAAATTTCTCCTTGAATATGTTTATATTGTCTGTGTATCCCTGTCATGTCAAGGCAATGGTTTTCATTGGGCTCCAAAGTGGGTGGGGAGCACAGACAATGCAGTTTATTGAAGAAAACTTGGGCATATAACAAACCACCCAGGAGAATACTTTGCACTTACCCCCACCCCCACAAGACCATAGCATACCCATCAAAAATCCAAAGCCACAATTTCAAAGAAACAAACATGTCACCAACACCTTACCAGCAAAAATCTCCCTCTCACAGCACCCAAAAATCACCTATCAAACCAAAGTCCTGCAAACAAATCACAAGCATCTCCAATCTGGTCCCTGCCTCGACTGAATAGCTTCCTTGTCAATGACCCGAAAAGAGACATCTACAAAGAGGCAAGAACCACCTTGCCAGAGATCCCAACATAAATTAAAATAATCCTTTTCAATTCCAAAAGCACAACTAGAAACCATAAACTCTAAAACTTCCTTGGAGAAAAAGAATGTTTCAATGTGCTTGAAAAAATGGAAATAGAAGACAACCATCCGTTTCAAAATCTCAACCAAGTCCTAAAATCTAAATATTATGGCTCATCAAATCAACCATTTGAAGCTATTATCAAAAAGAGCTAATTTCCCTTTTTATATCATTATTCACAAATTTAAATCACTTGATGCAGCAGTCAAACTTCATTAGTATCTATTTCTCTCTCTTGCTTTGACAATTGATTCTGTTAAAGAAGCATTTACCATATTTATTGGTATAGCAAGAGTTATTTACCCTTTGTTAGCGAGGATGTGTTTTAAAGATGCCATTTCCGTCTGTTGAAGTTAACTCTTTAATTTTATGTTACTTTCATTTTATACTTAAATTCTACTTTTTAATTTGAAAAATATTGATTTTTTTTTTAAATTTTTAAAAATTTTATCTAATTTTAAAAAATGGCAAAAATCATAAAAAAAATTTTATGGAAATATTCTTGATGATAATTAATATAGAAAGACTAACATTACAACTATTCATTATGATTTTTTGAGGAAGGAAAGTTTGGAAAACTTGACCCTCACAGGGCATATTGAGAGTAAGAGAGATAGGGGAAAGCAGTGAGCTATTTACCTGACAAGCTTGTGCAAATGGATGACAGAAGTGGTGGAGACTTAGCAAAGGGAGAAAAACCGGTAAGAGCCACATCAGATAGGAAGTTGTGGAGTCATGATCGCCTATATCCTGAAGGGATGTAGCAGATAGAAGAAGAAGAATTAACTAAACTAGAGACAGCATTTATATTTAGTTTTTATTGGTCAAAATATCTTTCTAAGCTTAAACTTAGACCATTATGACCTTTTTAGGTCAAAAAGGTTGAGGGTATCAGATTTTAAAAACAATATTGCTATTTTGTGTTGAAATAATAAAGTAAAGAAATACCCTTATCTGTTATCAAGTGACTGCTGATTAGCAAAGGCCTTATTACTAAAATGTACCATTTTGCAATTGGTGACTATTACCTTAGTGTACCCATACCATCAAACATAACGGCAATTGTTAAAAAGTGAAATGCAATGAAACAAAAGTCTTGAAACAATGTATTGAAATTTAATAAACCAGAGATAAAGAATTCAAAACTAAAATCAAGGCCAATGAACTGTTTAATTAATCTGTTTTCTTTATATATTTTTTAGATGCTCAATGGTATCTAGGATTCATTGATTATTCCTGGTATTATATAAATTGTTTTTGCTCAATATCTTTTCATGTTAAAAATATAGAGAGTATTAAAATCATATATAAAAGATTCTTGCCAGTATTCTTTGGATGATTTTAATGATTTAAAAAGTAAAATTCCTTACATGCAACAGTAGAGTTAATTTTCTAGATAAACATCCTAGATTACTCAAAGAAAATTTAGCTAATGCAAATGCTAAATTACTTGAACATGGTCATCATTTTCTGATGATATCAGCTAATTAGTGAATATTTATAATCATTTATATTTTGTTAGTTTTCTTTGGATATCTTTTATTTTTGATGGCAAAAATTTTACTTACATGAAACAGTAGTGTTAATTGTATAGATAAAAATCATAGATTACTCATGCAAAAAATATAACCAATGTAAAATGAATTAAATATGGCCATCATATGGTGAGTATTTATAATCATATTTTAAAAGTTTTATGTTAGATTTTTGGGGATATTATTTTAAAAGTTTCATGTTAGATTTTTGGGGATATTTTTTTCTACTTTTAATTAATTTATACATAATATTCTTTCTTACATATAAAATTACAGTTAATTTTATAGATAAAAAATCTAGATGATGACTCACACAGAAAATATAACCAGTACAATTGCAAAACGAATTAAATATGGCCATCATAGAGTGACTATTTATAATCATATTTTAAAAATTATAATTTTTGGATGTTTTTAATTATTTCAAATGCAGTATTATTTCTTACATGCAAAAGTAAGGTTAATTTTATAGATAAAAATCCTAAATTATTCACACAGAAGATTAATCAATGCTGTTTAAATTACTTCTATCAATTTTTATGGTAAACTATATTGTATTCATAATCATTTATGAAAGTTGTGTTCACCTTCTTTGGATTTCTTTGACTTATAAGGATTTAAAAAATAGAATTCTTTTTTTTTTTTTCTTTACACACAACAACAGATTTAATTGTATAAATAAAAATTCTACATTAATCTTGTAGAAAATATAATGGCCACAATTACAGAATTAAATTTGACTTTTATAGTGGATATTTATAATCATATGTAAATGTTTTGCCTTAGCTTTGTGTGTGGGGGGGGGTATATCTTTGACTTTGAATTATTTCAAACAGTATTCTTTCTTATGTATGACAATAGTTAATTGTAGAGATAAAATATTTCAGATTACTAGTACAGAAAATATAATCAATATAATTGCAAAATTACTTAAATATGGCTGCCATTTTTTGGCAATACCGGTAAAATAGTGAATACTTAAATATATCAGAGCCATCTGCTAGCTTTCTTTGGATAATGATTTGAAAAGTAGAATTCATTTGTACGTGCAACAGTTAATTCTAGAAATAAAATCATGCAGGAAATATAGCCAATACAATTACAAAATCACCAAAATATTACGGTCATTTTTTTATGGTACAGGTTAACTATTTAGTAGCTAGCAATGTCTTAAATGAAAGAAATTTAAGATAATATTATGTCATATCTTACAAATATCAAGCCATACCTGATAGTCCTGGGTATGATGATAAACTACATCCGACAGAAAGGCCTCTGATCAGAAGGTTTTGAGGAGTGTGGAACCACCTCTTAATTGCTGCTGTTCCCAGGTCTGCCCTATCAAAGGGTGGTAGCACCTGTTAGGGTCCCAGCTATGGGAAAATAGTGAACCCTGCAAACAAAAACACTATGAAAGTATAAAAACATATTTTAATAGTAAAAATAACAGCAATACACTTTTATATAAAAAAAGACCAATAATACATGGACAATAATAAGACAAATGAAGGCATACAATTGCATTAAAAATATTTAGTTGAAGCTATAAAATTGTGTTCAAAATATTTAGTTTTCAATATTAAATAACTCATAGAGGTGTTGATATGCTGCTAAATCAAGCCAAAATAAAACCTACCTGATAACATAATTTTGCTTTCTGTTTGTGCTTTGGCAGGTGCAACCATTTGCTGGTATCATCAATTGTGCACGTCCTCAGATTCCTCGAATTCTTTTCAATATGGAACCAGTGGGTCCTTTCAAACGGCCAAAACGATCTACAGACTTCACTATCAAAGGTATGTATCATCTATAGATTATTTTTTTTTTATCTGTTATTAAATAAAAATAATGAGAAAGCAGTTTTCTCTATCCAACAATCTATGGTTAATCTATAAAGTAACTAGAGCAGAAAGAGAATTATCTGTGTTTATTTGAATTCTTTCGATATGCAGATGGTTTAATGGTTAACAACTCAGAATGCGAAATCAGCAAGCCAAGTTTAAATTGCAAATTCATTGCATTCGTTTTCGCACAAATATCTGTGGGAAAAGTATGAATCCGTCTTTTCTCTACCCACCCCCTGCTATAGGTTAAATAGTAGGGCAAACTGGGCCCTTCAGCCTTAGTTGGTAACCACTCTAAGAGAAGGACAACTCTGAATTCCCAAACCCTGGTAGATGTAACTTGTTGGTTTGGGAATATGTGATCAGCTGAGGCAAGGAAATCCCTGACAGAGAACAAACCCCCTCCTCAAAGTATGGAGGTTAGACAGGGAGACAATCACCCATCCTGTGGAACAATTTGATTACCTTATGTTCCATGAGGCATCAGGCTGATTGCTTATTGGAATTCATCAACTGTAATTATCACCTTCTAGTATGAGGAGTTATCTTTATTTACTCTATTTACATGCAGACTATTATCTTTATTTACTCTATTTACATGCAGACTATTATCTTTATTTACTCTATTTACATGCAGACTATTATCTTCATTTACTCTATTTACATGCAGACTATTATCTTCATTTACTCTATTTAAAGCAGACTATTATCTTCATTTTTGTTGTCATTATCACAACATTTCAGCCATTGTGCCCTCCAGCCTTCAATTTATACAGTTTGAATTAATTGTGATAAAGCAATGCGACCAATGACTGAAAATTACAAATCTAAACAAGAATGTTTATTCACTCTGTTGGGGTGTAAACAATCTCGTGGTTGAAGTGATAAAACTACCAAGAAGGTATCTGAGTTTCCATTTCTTAAACAATTCATTTTTTTCTCTCACCAAGGCGGCCATAATGTCTCAAAAAATCAATACACTGACAGAATTTGCTATACTTATAAGGAAAGTGGGCATATATATATATATATATATATATATATATATATATATAATAATGTGTGTGTAGTGTATTTGTGCAATAATCTCTCTTATATACATGTTTCATTAAAGACAACTGATAAAGTACAATAGGTGTTGGGGTCTGTGAAATGATGGGTTGTAGTGGATATCCAGGTTTATGTATTTTGATGTTTTCATATAGGTATTCTGGTTGGTAATCTCCAAAGATTTTTCAAGGAACTTGTGTCTGCATTATTTTATGTTATAAATTAGTTGATGGACCTTTTGTCAGTCTTATTAATTCATAAGCAAGATTAGTGGTTAAATTAAAAAAATATTAATGTTTATTGACTTACGAAGAAGATTAATGGTTTAAATTAAATATTAAATGAAATTAAATTCATTGATCTGAAAAAAAGAAAAAATTCAGCAAGTTAATGGAAGTCAAAAAATGTATTTTTGGTGGACACCCTGTATATATAAACATCTTCTAAGTGTTCTTTCCAGCGATTAAGAATATCACTCTTATCAGTAAAGTAATTCTGTTTGATACAAATATTGGTGAGGATTCACATTGCTGGGGGCCATAAACATGTTTTATACCTTTGTAAAAGGCTTTTGTATACTTTCTACTGGCAGCAGCTTTTGATGACCACCACTCTTCTTTCAGTTTCTTTAAGGCCATTGAACAGTTTGTTTACAGCCTAAACATGGTTTCTTTTGTTGCTGATTTTGTTTTGCTTGTAATCCATACCTTATGACTAGAACATAATTTTTCAACCAGTGACTATATCTGTACTGTTTTCATCAAACCAATCTTGATGCTTATTGTTTGAAAAACCAACAACTTCAAGAGAAGTGGAATATGTTGTTTTCTTGAGATTTCTTCACAATTCTTCAATGTTCTCTGAAATTTCAAATCTTTCAAGCTGCACATTAAGTAGTTGGAACAACCTAGCTTTTCTTTCAGCAGCAAGAAATCAAACATGTTTCAGAAATGCCTAGCCCGAATTTGAAATAGTAATTACAGTGCAACAGACAATGATCAAATAACCAGCATGTGCTATGGATGGAGTGAGTATGATGACTGTTATGTCAATGGCACTTTTTAGTTATAGTCCTGGTATTCTTTACTTCAGGCCAAGTCATAGTGCAACTTACAGCTAGAACTGAAGGCCTATCATCATTCTACTGGGATTGAAAACTTTTAGTTGGGGTTTGCAGAAATAAGCTGCTGTAGAAATTCAAAGAAAATAAGTATCGATTAGGAGCATAATTAATTTGGTTTGAAAAGTTAATCCTCTTTATATTGGTATATTTTTTCTTTTCTAAGGTCTTATTATAGTTATCATATATTTTGATGGGTCTTCAGATCCATTACTTCCCACCCGGTGTACAAAATGCAATTGGTATTTTAATCTTTTAATTAATTATCCATGTTAAAATAGTTTTAATGAAACAAAAAGCCATATCAAAACTATAAATTCTGGAATAAATATATGACATGAAACAAAATAAACATGAAAGTAAAATTTTTATTTTAGAAATAAAGTAACTGTTTTATACTGACTTATTTTATCATAGATTTACTTTTTTCATTATAGAAGTACCTAGAAAAAAGATGGAAAAATGTTAAATTAATTTCCAAGTAACAAGACCAACTTTCCTAAATTAAATTCTTTTTTTTTTTTTTTTAGTGAATTTTGCATAATTTTTTTTGGGGGGGGGCAATGGAAACCTAAAATAATATCACCAGTCTGAAGGAAATAAATAAATCTTGCACTTCAGTTAAAAAAGCTAAAATTATTCTAACTGTAAAAACTAAATAAACTTAGTTTAACAACAACAGTGAACTGCCACAAACCAAAATTAAAAATCTTTGTTCCCAGTGGAACAAGATTTGAAATAGCCAGTTCTAACTGAATTGCACTATGAATTGGCCTGATGTAAAGAACACCATGATTGTAATCAGTCAAATACCATTCTTTTGACCATGGGTGCATCCAAATGGTTTTAAACCTGTTAGGTTGTTGAAACATAGTGTTGGTTATAAGTAGGTAAAATTCATTGCAAAGAAAAATCTATTACTATTTATTTCACCAATATCATGCGAACCAAGGGTGTTTCCCTAAGACTCATAACCTGATTCAACTCTAGTATTGAAGTTTGCCAACATCAAAAGTTTATAATGATAGCCTACAGTTCTTATAATCTTTCTCACAAAAGTTGGTTATCACTGATTCTTCAGAATTTGTGATTGGAGCATAGCAACTGATTAAAGTTAGGGTAGCAGCATCAGCAAGATCAAATTTTAATGTCATCAAATGATCATTCACCACTTGCAGTAAAGAGCTCAGTGTATCCAATATCAAAAGAGTGGTTTGTATCTTCCATCTTCCCTGACTAGAAAAATGTATAGCCTTCCCCTTTCTCCTCAAGCTGTCGATAATCAGGAAGTCGAATTTCACTTAATGCTGCTATGTCTATATTGTATTTATTAAGTACCTTTGTTACAAGGGCCATTTTCCGTTCTAATGAGTTACCCCTTTCCTGAAGGGTCCTTACATTCCAAGAACCTAAATTTAATGGAATCTTTTTGTCTTTATTTGTGTTAGTGTTTTGAGTATACAGTTGATAACCAGTTAACTGCAGTAAGATGGATTTTTTTTTTTTTATGGGTATGCAATTTTTTAGGACTCTTTTTGTTGACTACACCCAATTAAGCGAAAACAGTACTTCATCTAAATAGACCTGCTTTGTCACTGAGCAGAAGACATGAACAGCACAATTGCCCATAGCTTTTGTGCAGAACAACCATTGGCTCTACCTGTCCCCATTGATATTACCACATCACTTGCAGACTTTTGGTTAACAAAAGCTTTTTATGGTCTTAATAAAAATCAGAATGAGTAAACATTTGAACTACCCACACAGTGACTTGTTTAAAGTGGTAATGGCTTGATATATATAATTAAAATATTTTATAATTTTTTTTTCCTTTTTCTAAAAAAAAAAAATTGGATCTGTACATAAATAACTTTTATTTTACTAAGAAATCCACCAAAGAGTGAACATACAAAGGTGTCCATGAAACTAGAAGTCCAGATAAGTTAAGTGAATTATTTTATTATATTGATTATATATAAATTTTTTTTTTTTTTTTTTTATCTAAGCCTAACTTGAATTCAGTTTCATAATTTCATTTATTCGGCAATATTTATTTATTTATTTTGTTTGTTGTTGTTGTTATTTTCTTTTTTCTTTTTTTTTTACTGATAGTTTACCCAATGGTATAGGGTTACTGAATGAGATTGTTGTAAGGGTGGGGGAAGTAAGAAATACATATTCTAAGGACGTGTTGGATATCAGTTGGACTTAAAGAGACCAAGATTATAGTTGTCAAGGAAGCATCCTCACAAAGCAACAGTTCTGAGGAAGAAGCTGTATGGCTGGAACTTGCTCCTTATCAAAGGAATACAAAGAGAATATGGATGGTTAGCTACCATAAATATGACATGATGGGTCCTAAATGTGAAGGTCTGAGCTGGTGTAACTAAGGGATGTAACTCCTCTGAACATCTACTGTAGTAGTAGTAGTAGTAATAGAGTAGTGAGAGGCTAGCAACATTTTGTCTGTGAAATAAGGGTTGTAATTTTGACACTTGTTAAAATTCAGGTTCACTAACATTTTTATTTGTTCTTGGGCTTTGTTATTGTTTTTGTGTTTTTGATGTCACCAAAGAACCTAAGAATATTTACATGTTTTTCATTTTTCCAATTTTAACAGATTACGATCCCAAAAGACTTTGAATGATCTCCTTTTCTGTTTTCAGTATCATCTTCTTCTTTTTTCTTAAACTGTTTCTGTTCATCTATTAATTTTATATTTTGTGTGCATGCAGGTGACTTGACAAACAGTTTGGAGCATCTGGTTAATCAACTTGGCTGGCAAAAGCATATATTGAAGTTGTTGCAAGAACTTGAAGGGCAGGAATATGTAAGCATTTTCTAATCTATTTTCAGGAAGATCCTTTAAAAGATTTAAATGACAATCTTAAATCTAACCTCCCTAATCTTCTCTCTCCATCCCAGGACAATATATGATCATGGGAGACTAAACAGTATTACTTTATATTAGTGATTCCTGAACCAATGTTCATGACTCAGATTATGGTCACAAGTAAATTTCTGGGGGTCATGGGATGGTTTATAAAAAAGGAAAAATTGCAGCTTACAGCTATATCACATTGAAGCACTGTTTCTTGTATGATTACCAAAATTAAGCAATGTCGAGCATGGTCAGTACCTAGTTGGGTGATCGCCTGTGAGTACCAGGTGCTGTAAGCTTGGATGTGCAGGTGGTGTAATGGATAACTACCTGGAATTGGAAATCTGAGAACTGTTCAAATTACAGTCAGGTTTGTTAAATTCACTTAGGCATAAATACCCTTGGGAAAGGTATGAATCTCTCTCTTCTCTTCCAAGCTATGGGTTGAATAGTAGGGATTGTATCAGTAAATCATTATTATCTCAAAAAAATTTTACAATCTAAATTGATTTTCTGGCTTTAAATAACTAGCAAAAGGTTGATAAGCCATAAAAAACAAATTAATCAATTTAAAAAATGCTAAAAGTAAAAAGAAAAATAACACAAATATATCTAGATAATAATTTTGGAAGTCATTGAGACTCTGGAAGAGGAAAGTAGTTGTGAATAATAAAGCATCAATGAACATATAAACATTTCTTGATGTATTTCACTTCATTCACATCAAATATTTGTATGCTGAGACAGATGGAATTTGACACAATTGAATTGTTATTGACTTCTAATAGCAGAAGTATTAGTGTAATACTTAAGATATCCAGGTTTCTTACCATTTGGTATTTTTAAAAATTCATGCAAGATTTTAATTAAGAAAAAATTTATTCAAGTCTCTTCATAAGGTTTCATATATTATTCTTTCTCTTTCAAATTGTAAAGATGCCACTATCAAAATTTTTTTTTTTTTACACAAAACACTACCAAATATACATTGATTTTTCTAAATAAAAACAATTATGTTAGACTGAATTATTGTTGTAGCTTACCTATGGATGATAATGGGTATGTCCCCATTCACATAAATACAGTAGTAAATGCTGTATGTTGGTCTAGAATTGGAGATTCATTGTGGAACTCACTTGACTCACTTCTAGCAGTTAACTACTTCTACGCGCCACTGGCAAATCTTATATGTGTTTTTCTTGTCCTAAGTAGTTCATTACCAAACCTTTGTTTGATTATTTTATTCAGTAACCTTCCCTAGGTTACAACAATTATAAACTTTGATTATGATTTAATAAAGAAAGTGTAAAATTACAAAATTAATCACAAGTTTTTGCATCAGTAATATTAATCAACTCAATATAGTGACAATAATTACAGGATGGGAAATAACATTGCATTATTTTTGTCAATTCTTGGTGAGGAGTTATCGTTATTTGCATTCTGTCTAATTTCCTTATCTTTGTTGTTGTTATGTCATTTCATCCATTGCTCTCCCACCTTCTACAGGTGTCTGTCAATCTGAGTAACTTTCAGGTAATTTTGAACTGAACCTTTTATCTAATCTACAAGAGTATACTTTTCTTATTTACATTCAGATGCTCCTTGTAGATTACACAGATTGATATATCCCTGAGGAAAGCCAGAGGGCACAACAGCCAAAATGTTGTGATATCAACAGCAATAGTTCAAATACAAAATAGTGCAAATAATGATAACCCCCATCATCCCAGAAATTCAGACAAAAATAGATTTTTCTTGTTCTGCTCTCCACGCCTAAAGATATTTCATTTTATTCTTATATAGTCCTGCTCAGTTATTGTTTGCCCGGTTTCCACTGCATCTGAGACTGTACTATGCAAAATAGGCACTGGACACCCGGAACAAGAGCCTAGTTTATTAAAGCATTGGTTCAAGAATTTGGTGACAGTAATTGTGAGTTCAATCCCTAGGCCAGGTAGTGCTGATTTAGTGGAAATAAGGCAAAACAGTACTAAATAAGAAAGACAAGATATCCAACACTAGAATGAAAAAAATCTCTCCCTGCAGATTAAATAAATGGGTTCAATTTGAAATTACCTGCAGGCTACCTGGATTGACACCTGAAGAAGGCTGAAAGCACAATAGCAGAAATGTTGTGATCACAAATATTAGGGCATCAGTCCAAATGTAAATAAGTTACTTTGCTTGTTCTAATTAAAAACAACTTGTATTTTGTTTTTTATTTTTTTAGGCAAATCAGTTCCATCAAGACCAGGAGATTCCAGCTACTTTATGTGATGGAGGAGCAGATGGCACACCACAAAAGTTTAAGGATTCTTCTATGATCAGAAAGAAGTCAGGCGACACATACAAAGGTGCTAGCCATTTAAAACCTAAGACAAATGATGAAAATAGCATAAAAACTGACAAACCATAACATCCATGAATGGAAATTCTTTTTTAATATTTTCAATCTTATTTCTAAAAACATGAAAATTTGTTGAAAACAAATGCAAAAAGACAAATTGCATATCACCCCCTCCCTTTTTTTTTTTTTAAAGCAGAAATTATGGGGATAAAAAAAATCTATACCAAAGGAACAAGGTTCTACCTTTTTTTTTTTTTTTTTAAGTGAACAGCTTTAATTTAGTTTTTTTTTCTCTAATTCATGAAAATTATCAGGTAGTAGAATGTTACTGTTGTTAACCCATTTTATTTCTGTCGTTCTTACCTGAACCATAGAACAACAATGATAGACATTCCCATCATCTGCAGTTGATGGGTTAACAGAATTTTAACTTTTACATTCTTCAGTTGTCATCAAGTTTATTCCATGAAAAAAAAATGGTAACTTCTTTTTTTATTCTAATGGAATACACACCTGATAATGGCTGAAGTATAGATCAACTGAAACATTGTGTTCATAACAGCAAATATACAAAGAAAAGGTTCAGTTATACAAATAATATTGAGTATGTTAATTGACGCTTCTCAAAATTAACAACTGTACAGAATGTTATAAATTTTAAATTGTTCTCTCTTATTTACTTAAGTTTTTTTAATAAGATATTTAATTTTAATTATGGCATACTATTTTTCTTTTTTTTATCTGAACAGTAATTAATGTAATCAATATATTTAATTTTTAAAAATTAATTTTTTACTATTTAAATAAGGCATTTACTTTGTAATACTAACAAAGTTTGAATGTTGAACCTGGTCTGTTTTAATTGTGACTAGTAGGTTAGCTGCTGTAAGGAAGGAAAGACTGATTTTGTTTTTATTGGCAAGGATCAATCTGGCTAAGGTAGATCCAGTCTCCATCCTCATCTCACAAATGATGGCGATTTTAATAATCAACGAATATATTCCATACATTTCTCCATTTGATAAGATTGAAAACAACAACTTCATCCTTCATATTACTGTCAGTATTTGTTTAACCAGATTCAACTCTTTTGTTGCATTCCTGTTATTTCTGAGGCTCATGAAAATTTAAGTTATATTTATTTAAGTTATATATGTATGTATCAGTTATTTTGAGAATTCTCATAGAGAAACATTAACAAGGAAATAAAATCTTAAGCATCTGACTGGTTTTCATATATTCAATGTTTCATACTTTGAGATATATATATATATATATATATATATATATATGCCCTTTAAAAATCGGGATGTCAGTTGAATTCACCACCTTGGTTTCAACTTTACAGTATCCTCAGGCGATTTTTATCAAATGACCTCTTAATGCCTTATTTTTTTAAAAACACTAACGAATGCTATACCACTGTTTCCTGGTTTGATTCAACTCTGACCAATAACCTTTCATTATATATATATATATATATATATATATATATATATATATACACACACACATTATGGATTGATAGAAAGCTTGTATAGTAGATTATTCACTAGTGTGTTGAGTTCAATCCTCAATGTGTACCCCATTATTGTAGCTTTATACCAGACTAAGCTTAGTAACTATTTACACACAGATGGATTAGATTAAATTATGTATAATGGTATTTGGAATTATGTAATGATTACTCTAAAATGGATGCATTTATATATATATATATATATATATATATCTATATATATATATATATATATGTATATAAATAAAAAAGAAAGAACAATATATAAAATCCGGTGTTCTTATAGATATTTTATTTTTTACAAAATAGTGCTCAATGTAAATTTACAGAGCATTAATATTATAAATTAATTGATTTAAAATATGGTTATTTTTTCACACAGTTCAACCATGTTTCAAAAAATAGAAGCAAAAACCCTAATTTTATTTTTGCAAATAAATTAAAAGCATTAGTTCTATTTCATCTTCAAGATTTTGGAGAACTTTTAAAATTTACGGGTTTTTAAATACACAGCTAAAATCACGTTTCCATGGTTATATTCTACTCAAATTGAACACGGGGTGTCTAGATTTTCCTTATGACAGTATCATTGTATCAGTTATTAGCTACATTTTTGGTAAGGGGTGAGGATGTATTTTACACTGAAACCTGACGTTTGAATGGATGTCGTCTGAATTTTAAAAAAAAAAAAAAATTGTTAACGGTAAAAAATTTTCAGATTTTTTTTACAATACTTTTTATTTAACTATTTGAAATATTTTCCTTTTAATTTTATTTTACTATATTCTTTTTAAGAACAGTTAAATGTATTAGAATCCATTATATTATGTAGGATTATTTTAACATTAAGTTTAAGTATGTATGAGAATTTTTTTTTTTTTTTTTTTTTTTTTTTGTATATGACTTATGACAGCAAAATGGTTATGATTCATAAACTTTTCTTTTATATATAAACCTATTATTATAATATTTCACATAAGTACTGAGGACATGGGTCATTCAAAAGCTTACATGTTATGGTATTCATATTAATTTTATTTTACTATAGGTGTTATTTTGGATTCTTTTTAATGTGTGTAGTATTATTTAAAAGAAATTTAGGTTAGAATTCATTCAATTTAACTACAATTTTAATTACAAATTCAAAATTACAACTTTAAAATTTTAAAATATTTTCATTGTTTAGTTTTAATAGACTATATTACTTTATAACAGAAGGAAAATTACTCATATTAAGTAAGATTATTTTTCCCATATCAAAGTATATGTAAATTTTTTTTTTTTTTTTTTTTTTTCCTTTTCTTCTCTTTAAATTTAAATATTATTTAAACTAATATTAATGGCACTTACTACAAAACTAGCTAAGTCATTTCTCAGATTTAGTAAACTTTATTTATTTATTAATTAATTAATTTATTTATTTCAAATATATGTAACCTAATTAATAAAAGTTTCATATGTATGTATAAATAACATGTTAAAATTCATTTTATTTTACTATTTAATTTCAATTTTAAAATTTTAAAATTATAACTTTAAAATTTTAAAATATTTTCATTGTTAACGTTTTTATTTTAACACTATATTACTTTATAACAAAGGATAATTACTCATAGTAAGTAAAAATTTTTCTATCAAAGTATATATAAATTACAATTTTAAACTTTTAATTTTAGATATTATTTAAATGAATTAATATGCCCCATTACAAAACTATCTAAGTCATTTCTCCAAATTAGTAAACTTTATGTATTAATTCAAGTTTAAGTATGTATATGAGGTTACATTTTTTTTTTTTTTTTTTTTTTTTTTTGATATATATATAAAACTAGTGATATAATGTTTCTCATGTAAGTACAAAGGACATGGGTCATTCAAAATATTACATCTTATGGCATTTCATATTAATTTTATTTTACTATATTTGCTTTTGGGAAATAAAATTTTTTGAGTGTTAGTATTATTTAAAAGAAACTTAGGTTAGAATTCATTCAATTTAACTTTAATTTTAGTTTCAATTTTAAAATTACAAACTTTAAACTTTTGAAATATTTTTTCATTGTTAGTTATATTAGACTATATTACTTTATAACAGAAGGAATATTACTCATAGTAAGTAAAATTATTTTCAATATCCAAGTATATATAAATTACAATTTTAAACCTTTATATTTTAAAATATTATTTTAGTAATATTAATGGAACTTACTACAAAATTAGCCAAGTCATTTCTATATTTAGTAAACTTTATTTATTACTTAATTTATTTATTTATTTTAAATATATGTAACCTAAGCAGTAAAGTTTCATATGTTGTACCAAGAACAGGTTTAATTCATTTTATTTAACTACAATTTTAATTACAATTTTAAAATTACCACATTAAAATTTTAAAATATTTTTCATGGTTAGTTTTAATTGACTATATTACTTTTATAACAGAAGGATAATTACTCATAGTAAGTATAATTATTTTCCATAACAAAGTATATAAAATTACAATTTTAAACTATTATATTTAAATATTTAAGTAATATAAATGGCACAACTACAAAACTATCTAAGTCATTTCTCAAATTTAGTAAACTTTATGTATTAATTAAAAAATGTTATTTTAAATATATGTAACCTGAGTAATAAACATATGTATGTACAAAAGAACAATGGGTCATACATTTACCTTACATCATCTAGCTTTAGTTATAATTTCATTTTTTCAGGAATTGTTTTAAAAAGTACATTTATTATAGAGGTGTTTGAAAATACATTTTATTTAACTACAATTTTTTTAAAAGTGTTTATGTTTATACGTTTTAACCAAATTTTAAATAACAGTTTAAAAAACATTTTTCCTGCCATTCAATAGACTTTTTTTTTTTTTTTTTTTATATATTATTTAAGGAAAATTTTTGACAATGAAGAATATAATAATATTTATTTCTCTGATTCAGTAAATTTTATTTTTTATAAACTTAGTAATATATAATTTCTCTTGTATACATAGAGGACAAAAAACACAATGATCTACAAATTCTAGCTCTTCTTATTAACTTCCATTTTTACTGTAGGTGTTTTTATTTGATTCTTTTAGATGCCAGAAATTTTTGAGAATGTTTGATTTTTTTTATATTTATTTATTCTAAATGAAAAAATGTTGGTTGAATCTTTTTTGAATTCATATATAGTGCAACCTATATATATTTTTATGTTATCAGGATTTTCAATCGAAGAGATATTGCATTGGTATTTAATGATTCAGTGCAACATTTATTTTGTAATATAAATTTTGAGGTTTCGACAATTAAAAAAAAAAAATTTAATCAGTTTTTTATCTTAATTTTTCTATTGTCTAAATTTTTTTTTGGTTTTGGTATAAGTTTTATTTAATATTAACATTATTCTTATTGTTCTTTGTACAATATAACTTAATTTTAAAGGTTTTATAAAATTGTAATTAAAATCAAAAATAAATGTAAATTTTGTCATAGTTATTAGGTCCTCTATTTTTCTATAAACTAATAAACTTTAGAAATGTTTATAAAAAAGAATT